ATAAAAAGGAAGCTCTTCATATCCCCTTTTCAGCTCGCTTTTAAATTCAAAATACTCAGACATGGAAAGGTGTAATCCTCGTCTCTTGCTCAAAGGACTGTGACAAATGTTTCTTTAAATCAATTCTCCCACAAGTTGAGAATACAAATCTCTGTTTTTGGTGAATATATCACATCAACCTCCACACAGTCTATTTTGTTGTCTTATTATTAGACTCTTTTGTTAAATCAGGCTTACAAATCATCCCCCGAGCTGCATTTACTCCAGTGTTTTTTTCAACTTTTTTAGCTTGTCTGAACTTCTTGTCATCCATAAAAACACACAGACGATGAAGCAGATTTTTTTGAAACTCTATTCCTATTCGGGAAAAAACCTGAATAACCTCTAAATGATCAAACTTTAAAATGGTTTGCCAACGCAGGTCAACACCTCAACAGCACGGGACTGCCTTCAGGACCAGCCACCAAATTTTTGTGATCTATAACAGACTGAACGACTGAACATATGGAAAATTAATTTTCCTATCAATCAGGGTCGTGCAGATTTAAGGAGTCAAGAGAACTCATAAATCATCCAGTCCTGATGGGAGTGTGTGGATATGCCTTAGTGAAGCATTATTTACACAATCTGCTCACGCTTTCTGCAGGCTTTGCACACTAAGCCACTTTACAGCCTCACTGATTCATGTTCTTACCTTATTTCAAGCTTTTCATGCTTTTTATTATGGCTACAGTATTTCATGGCTGAGTGATGCAAAGCACTGCTGGACACTCATTTAGAGCTCTTCTAAAAGTTTGTTTTTTAACGGTTTGATAGCAAGTATCTTTAAATGATAAAGCTTGGCAACAAATCCCACGAAAATACAGAAACCAACAATGTGTCTGTCTGTCTGTCTTTCTGTACTTTCTGACTTCCCTAAACTGTGTGTGTGTTCATGGTAATAGAGGAACAGTGACAACATGCTTTTTCACACCCTGTGAGCAGCACTATAGTGCCCTACTACCACTCAGCTCACGTACAGCCAGATGTTACCTGTGCCCCAAAACACTGAGGTCTGATCAGGTTATGTCTCGATTACAGTTCGCCAAATTACTGTTTGTCAAAGGACTCTGGTGATTTTGGAAAAGAAATAAAAATGCTTCAGGTTCCCATCAGAAAGGGCGGTCTGACAGCAAGGTAAAGCAGGGAAAATATGCTTACTATTGTGCACAAGTAAACTGATTTTTTTCTTTTTTTATGAGGCTAAAATAAGTTTTTCGGCAGCCCGTCTACAGCCGTGCATCACTTAGCTTCCGTGGTGGTACTCCTGTCTGCTTCTCCAAACTGGGGTCATGCCAACCGCTGTCTACTGTGAGTAACACACTGACTACACGTAAGTTCTTCATACAACCTCACTACAAAAACTCCAAACTGGATGATCTGTGGTCTCATGAGTAACAGTCAGAGGACGCAGGCTACAACCAACAATTCTTTTCATTTTGTTCCATTTTCTGGATTAGTTGTTAACAGAGAGAGTATTGTTATTTAAGAGTTTAAACTAGTGAATTTCTGTGATTTTCATCAAAAAAATAATTTGTCCAGTGATATTCTGACTATTGATTAATAATTTGGACAGTAAAAACTCCTACACACTAGCCCTGTAAGAACAGAATAACAGTCCACCTTTAACACATTGTTTAAAATATACATAAACTTTGGTATAACCTTGAATAATATGTGAGGGATAATGCCGGACGGGGAGGGCAGAACCGCCTGACACCCAGCAGCCAATCAGAATCCAGTGTTCACCCAGACCGTGGTATAATAGAACTTATATAATAAATGTTATAAATTGAAAATTATCAATATAAATATAAGTGTCAGTGGCTCTTACACCTTGTTTTGCAGTGGTGACCACTACAGATATCTTTGGCTAAGTTGTGTGATAGTATTTTTCCCGCTATGGTCGGCTCGATGTTTGAGTGACATACAGAATTTGTGTGTGACGTTGTAAATCTTGTGGTGTTACATTAGCATGGAAAGTAATGCAGGTGTTTTCTGACTCTGGTTCCAAACAGCAGACTGCACAGAGATCCTGTCAGAACCAGGATGAAGAAATCGTTCTTCCTCACCATCACTGTCGTTTTCTTTTGCACATTTGAGTTATTTATATCAATGTCCTGCCCCCTCTTCCTGTCACATGATGTAAGCTTAAGGAGATATTGGGAGTGCTTGGTTTGATGCAGTGGATCTCCCTGCTAGTGCCAACAGTGAGAAATGCTGTCACACAGATGAGATTACACAGAGGAATGTATCTAGATCATGATCTTCATACTATTGATTGTGCAGCCGTCAGTGGCACAGAGGAGTAAGATATTTTCAGATTACATAGGCACTACTTGTTAGTAGGATAAACTGATTGTTGGCTTTTTCATGGGATTTGTTAACATCTAGAATATCAGCAGACTTCTCTTGTTATTAATATATTAGCAGGTTTTTTCCTTATCCAAGCATTAATCTCCTCTACTTTAAACAGCTCACACACATGTGCTGAGACTCTCCCCGGGGTTCTCTGCTGATGACGCAACCCACCATGTCTGTGCCCGTCAATCCCCCGCAGAATGAGACGGATTCACTTCACCGCGGAGGCACATTAACCATCAGTGCACGTATGAGCAGTCCATTTTTATTTTTTAAAGCGCAGCCTATCCCTGCTTTGCTCTCAACAGGATATGAAAGATGAGGAGATCACAGACAGAGATGGGGAGAAACCCAAAGCAGACACAATGAGAGTGATGGCTATCGGCGCGGCCGGGTGCCCGTGAGCCTTTGGTAATTTGTGACGAACCAGGAAACTTATTTAGCTGTGCTCATGCTTGGGCCATTATTGGAGACACCAAATAAGCAGCGGGGAGGAGAACATCGCTGCAGATGGAGGCACTCTGTTTGGAGAGGGTAGGAAACAGACCAGGGAATGATAAGAGGCTAACAAGCTCAGAGCATCAGGGAACAGATGCCGAATCCATTAACAGAGGGTGGCAGCACTTAATACTTGAACAAATCAGGGCGTAGTTTTCACTGGGGATGGGGTGAAAGGGTTAGGGTTGAAATGGGCCTAACTTTTCAGAATATTTTTATTTACTTCCTTCTTGTTTGATTTACTCCCTCAAATTTCTCTAAAAAGTCCCATATTCAAACAATAAGAGGAAGTGTGATGAGGTGGTG